CGCAAACTTGACCAACTCGGCGACGGTCACACGGAGAGTCTGAGCTGTCTCGGACAAACTCGACAGACAAGCCGTCGTATCGATGGACAGCGGCTGGTCTGAGCTGTCCGCCAGACAATTCCGTGGAATTCCGTTGGTCTCAAGAGAAGTAACAACAACTCCGTTCAGGTAGGACCGCCAGAATTCTTCGGCTGCTCGCGTGTCTTGTGCTTGGATATAGTCCACCACGTGGCGAAAGCTTGGTCGTTCCGGCAGGGGTTTGCCGTCCAGAAGGTCAGCGAGATCATTCCAGAACATCGTCATGGACCAGCCGTCGTACAAGCAGTGATGGATGGTCAGGACGCCAAAATGACCTTTGTCCGTGTTGACGATGGTCAGCCGCACGAAGTACTTGTCCGCGGTTTGGAATCCACGCGCCAGATCGTCCTCCAAGAAGTCGGCAAGGCTCGCCACCGCCACCGTCGGCACCTCCAACTCCTGGATGTCTGGCCGAATGACCTGGTACATTCCAGTCGACGTCGTCAAGAACGTTGTCCGTAGAATGTCGTGCTGCTGCACCAGCGCCTTGAAGCCAGCTTCAAACTTGGCCGCTTCCAATGCGTCCGCCAGATGTACTGCGTTTTGGAGGGCGTAGGATCGACGATTGTTGATGGTGGCATACAGCATCCCAGCTTGCAGGGGCGTCACAGGGTATACCGCAGAATTCGACCAGTTGACAACGTGAGGCCATTCTGCTTCCACAGACACTTTCGTCGATTCTGGAGCCATCGCACTTGGCCAATCCACTTGGCGATGCGTTGACACAGCCTTCGCCACTCGCCACAGCAGCATTTCTTTGGTCATTTGGCCACCGGACAACGCCAACCCCATGGCTTTGCACGCTGCGATGACTCGGACAACAGACAACGAGTCGCCTCCCAACGCGAAGAAGGACGACTGGCGACCGATCTCAGACACGTTCACGCCAAGCACGTTGGCCCACACTGTGGCCATTTTGAGCTCCACGTCTGTCTCCAACGTTTCGACGTCGACGCTCACGTCCATGGACTGCAGAACTTTCACGTCGATCTTTCCGTTGGAATTCTGGGGCATGTCGTCCAAGCCAACCCACACGGCTGGCACCATGTACACTGGCAACTGGTCCGCCACACACTGTCTCAACGCGTCCACGTTGACATGTGCAGGCGTGAAGTACCCCACGAGGTGCGTCTTGTCCTTGACAATGGC